GAGGGAGCAGCAGTAGCGTGTGCGAAGCGGAGAGATGCTCTCTGTTTCATTAGATTCCTGATAGAGCAGATTTCAGTACCTGCATTAAACACTTGTGTTAAAATGTCGAGGGAAGGCGATGAGCGAACGAAAGCCTTGTTCTTGCTAGCACTGCTGGACATGCAGCAAAGTAAACCGATGAGGGTGAACATGAAAGAACCTGAAGAATTGGAACCGATGAAAAAGATAGATGAGATCAGAAGATTCCCAAACAAGGAGCTGAGACTCACTAAAGAATCTATGGGAGCATTGCCGAAGTCCAGTGAATACTGTGGACCGATCAAGAAGAAGTCATATAGCTATGTATCTGGGATCTTAGGGATAGCGTACAATCCTTTCCTGAGTGAAGACATACGTGATTGCTTGTTTGATTATGAGCAGGCGGTGTTACTAAGATTCTGGACGTCCAGATTTGTAACGATTAAAAGCGTCAACAATTCACAGGCCAAATTGGGACTGGTCTTGGAAGAAGAGGTGACTGCACCTTCAGTACCAAAATCCGACAAGAGAGTGGAGTTTGGGTTGGGATTCTCAGATGAATTACTGAGAACGAGCTTGATGGCAGTGTGGGAATTGATGAGACCATCATGGTGTCCTAGTCCCAACGCTGACTCAATATTACGGGCGACACAAGACATACAGAGGGAACTGAATGCGGACTGTAACCTGCGTGACCTCAACATCATATATAATGTGATGATAACAGCCTCTAAGAGCAACGGAGAAGATAAAGTGGTGTTGCCTGGCTGGGGACCAGAAGACTGGGTCAAACCTGGTAGCTGTCTGGCGGAAGTCTGTGGACTAGAGGGTCACGTTTGTGGAAGTCTAGACTGTGTGAAAACCCTGGAGAAACAACACAAGCAGTTGACAGTATTGTTTGGAAATGTAGTGATGAAAGCAAGAACGGAAACGGAACTGATAGCAGATTGCCATGGAGGAACCGATGTGAATCTAGTGACAGCACTAGGATTCTACAGCATGTTTGGTTCTTTAGAGTCACTATTGAATCTAGAACAGAAACATGAGATGGTCACAGCCATCAGCGTAGAAGTATTCCCAGGAGTTCTGCAGACTGAGCAGAAGTATATAGGAAAATGGAGGGAAGCAATCGAAACAGAGATGAACATCAGACACAGCGAAACTTATTGTAGACCATCAGGAGCACGATATTTGGTGGGCTCAACGTTGGCTCCAATGTGCAAGAGCAGATATCCTGTACATTTCGTAGCTGTGGACGTAAAGAGTACAAGAACGATTGTGGATCAAGCCTTCTCAGTGCCGAAGTGTGTGAGATTAGCGAGGATGTCTGAAAAGTCTTACGAGTTACTATGTAAGATGTTCTCAGCAATTCCAGAGAGAACCAAAGAAGAGTTGGAGTCAATACTAGGAAAGAAGTTCATGGGATATGTGAGCGGGAACTTCAGTGACTTCGAAAAACAGAAACAGGGAGGATCAACTGTCACAGATTACAATGCAGTAGATGAGAATGATGAAAACCACCGAGTGATGATGGAAGTGGAACCATTGCTGGAAGCTTCGGGAAAACGTAATTGGAGGAGCATCATGTTGACGCATGATGAGTTTCCTTGCCACTGCTTGCTGCAGACCTGGTGGTATCCCAAGCGTAGTAATCTGATGTTGATCTGGGACTCTGGAGAGCTGCTCTCCATGGGTTTACCAGATTCATCACAGCCCGTAACAATAGTGATAGTGGGAGTTATGATGGCTATACGATGGCTGGAAGCTCATGTGAGAGAAAATAATAGACAAGAGGCACCAACGAGAGAACAATTGCGGAAATTAGATTGTCTGAAAGATTTAGATCTTTTTGAGACAATGTGCAAAGTTCTAAACATTCCGATGGAAGCGAAGAAGATATGGGCAAGAAAACGATTGATGCCATGGTTCAGAGCTAACATGACTGCATGGTTGTACGAGTATGCGAAAAAGCATATGTCGAAACATGGCAGAGTGTACAGTGAATATCAGCTGGACATTGGGCCAGGAGCTTTCAAGCTAGCTTTCGTGACTCATCGGAATGCAGTGACCACCGCTGTGAAAAGAATTTCCAGGACGAGCGAGCGTAGTGGAAATGAGAAGGCAGAGATGCTGAAAGAAGATTTGGAGAGAAACGTGACGTTGTGTCTCCACAACAGCTTCTGTAGAAACAGAGAATCAAACGTGGATCCCCTACCTTGCTGTAAACAGAGGGTGGAAGAGCAGAAGTGTTGTAGGACGGCTTCCAACAGCGTCAGGATAGTCAATGACGTGCTACAAGACACGAAAACCGAAAGTGCGGAGTCAGTGTCACAGGAGGAGGAAATGGAGCATTGACGAATGGTCGAGAAAACAAGAGGCAGCAAGAAAAAAAAATTGGAAGAATTTAGAAGTTTTAGAACTTCTAAACGACGAAAAAGAAGAGAACAAAGGGATGATGAAGAAAAGTCAAAACTCAGAATTGTTTTGTGTGTGTGAAAAACTCAAGTGAGAAACCAAGCAACCAAGTTGCAATTGAAAACTGAAACATTTAGTTGAGTTTTGAATTTGTTGCATTTATAAATTTGCATTTTGATTTTAACAGAAGGGGCTTTAGAGACACTTATTATTTATTTAGAAAGGCTTAAGGGAAGAGTATATTTAAATATTCCAGCCTGCATGATTGTTTTTAATCACTTAGGAAGATTGATCACTTTGTGGTGACGTGGAAGGCTTGAGTAATCTCTTGAGGAGGGAGGTTGTTGCATTGTTCTTTCTAACCACAAAGTTTCTTAGTTTTAATATTCAGGACAATAAACAAGCAAAATTTCCGAAGGGAAGGAGCATAGTAGGATAATTTTAGCTTGTTGGTTGGCAGGACTGTCCTGCAAGCCAACACCTTTTAAATCTAAGAGAAAAAGTTTTAATCGGGACATTGACAATGGAAGTCAGAAAATATGTTTTATCTTAAGTCATATCCTCAGAGTGCAGGTTAATGAGAGAATTTGAAGGCTATAGTGATGTAGTATGATGCCATTTATATTCTGCGGTGAGTCGATGTGACGTGGATAAAAGTAATTTCGTGCATTTTGTAAATTCTGTTCGATGACACTGTAACCATTTAGAACATTGCGCGATTCAATGAGGACATTGACCGGACTGTCCGGGGAGTATGTGACATTCGACCAGAATGGCCAAAATGCAATCTCTGCAGAATTCGGAATTTTAGCAGTGAGCCTTCCGGATTGGTGGTTTTTAAGAACTAAGGGCGTTATTGGAACGTTTAGCCAAACGGTGAAGGCCGGAATATTCTAGTATTTTAAAATTTCAAAAATTCGAATGATGACGTCACATTTCTGAGAAATGCTGAAACGGCCATTTTAAACAAAAACGAGTGAAAAAACAACAACATTAGTTGCGCTGACGAGAACAACTTTATCGAAATTGAAGAAGTCGAAATTGAAGAAAAACAGCAGCAGATTGCAGAGAACGTTCCGAGTTGCAACTATTGTGCTGCTACTATAGTTGCAAGGCCGTTGCGAACAACGGTGAAGGGTAAGAAACCAGCCTTCCGTGTTGTCGTGAAATCGAACTTAAGGAGCTTGATTCACCGGACTCAAGAATCCGGAAGGGTCTCGGGACGGAAAACTTTTATTGACTCATATGAACTTTTAGCATCCTGTCATGTCCTGACTTGAATTTAATTGATATTTGGATTAGTTTTGACAAGGATGAGGTGCTAAGAGTTGGGGGGGGGGGGGAGAAAAGGGTTGATCCATCTTCGATGGAGATGATGATTTTTATCTACTGAACAAAAACAATAGTAATATAATAAGTAGTAGCCCTGTTTTTAGGAGTGACCTCGTGGTCTGGGGATACTGAGACCGAGCCATGAGCTCACTATTTTTGCATGTAATTCAGTTAATTTGAGCGTTCTGGTCGAAGCCGGAGAACAGTAACGTTTTTGTCGACCCGATGTTAGAAAAGACCACCGAAAAGTACTGGCTTGGTAGAGACGGTGAAAAACATGCAAAGCTCTGTTTAGACGCTAGCCAGTCGTCTTAAGACTTAGTTTTGTTATGTGTCGATATGTATCTTCCGGGCGAATGTTACAGTATATCTCTCGTGTACGATTCGTTTTGTTATATAATTCTTGTATTTGAAAACACAGTTTTATTTTCAGTATTACAGAAATTCTGCAAAAGAAGAATTCTCGCTGTATAACAGGGTGCCATGATTATAAACAAGCTCTGGTTCAACTGGAGTTATTTCAAATATGCTATCATCTCATCTTTTCTGATTGTGTCCTGTTGTGCAATTTGTAGTCATGTTCCGATGGATATGATGATTTTTATCTTCTGAACAAAAACAACAGTAATATGATAATAAGTAGTAGCCCTGTTTTTAGGAGTTAGTTCGTGACCAGGGGATACTCTGAGACCCAGCCATGAGTTCACTATTTTTGCATGTAACTTAGTGAATTTGCGCGATCTGGCCGATAGCCTTGAAAAGTAGCGATTTTGTCGACCCGATGTTAATGGAACCCACAGTGACCTGGCTTTGGTAGAGACGGTTAAAAGCATGTTAAGCTGTGTTCAGACGCTAGCCAGTCATTTTAGGACCTAGCTTTATTTTCCGTCGGTATGTACTTCCGGGCTAATGTTACACTTCAATCAAAGTTTTCCCTCGACTCTTACTGCACCTTCTTCGTCAAATGTCGATGCAACACATGTACAACTTAAATAACTTCTCTATCATAACCTTTCCTACAACTCGTATAAACTCAATTTTGTTTTTGATTTACCCCATATCAGGTAATTAAAGTCTTTATCTATCTATCTATTTATCGACTGCTTTTGAGCATAAAACCATTTTTGCGTAAAAAAGTAACATGAGTAGCAAGTGGGGAAACACTTCTTCTGTTCTCTTATCATCACTTCGGTAATGTTCAAAGTGTCGTCCTGAATGTATGCTCATTTTAGAGACCATGAAGCGCTTCCTCTTCATCAGATGTAAATATTTTACAGTCCTAGCTTTCGTTGGTTGCTGCTTAACATTCATGTTCTCTTCCTCTGGAAATGACGAAAAATTGTATAGAAACCGAATCGCCTCCCTGACTAGAATGGTATCCGACATGCAGTCATTGCTGTCTAGAACGGGACTCTCAGCTGTGGTTGGAATGGAAGTAGTTATTGAGACAACTGCAAAAATAGATTTTCTCCTTGTGGCGACAGAGTTTGATAGTCTTGACTATCGAGATTCATATATTGCTCCTAATATTCGTGCTGCTATCGGAAAGGTATGTTTATAGAGAAGTGTCAAGGCATTTTTTCATGTTTTGTGTTAAGGCATGTTGACCCTGATTTATCTCAAGTTGTTACGCGACATTTTGTTCTTTTCACCTCTATTTGTTTCCAGCTATTGGTTATGTGGGCAGAAACAATAAGTAATATTCGGGTAAACTAATAAATTCTGGTCGAACAAGCAAGATAAGGACTTGATTAATGAAGGAAAGTTCCTTCTTAGCTTCGCATCCAGCTTGAAAAATATTTACCCAATTGCTTAAAATGAAAGAGAAAAAGGTCCCCGAGCATTTGCAAAACGCTTAGCAATTTCATCGGCTCAAAAATTGCCCTTAACATTTGTTTTTATTTTGGAATCCTAGAGATTTTTACTTCTAATTTTTACTTTTATTACTTCGTTTCCTCGGATTGGTTGTCAACAGGATATCTGGGGAAGAAAATATGGGGGAAAAGGTTTTGAATCAACCATCGGTATAAAGTATAGAGAAATACTGAAAGTGTACAATTTATGCTGGAATGATATTCGATGAGGAATGTTTATTGATTGTGGCACAAAATGTTTATGTCGGTGTCTCGGGTACTACAGGACGTGTATTGCTGTTTCTTCCGGTGTCCTCTCAAGGCTATCAAGGCAGTTTTCAGGATGGTGAAGGAGAGCTTCTTCCGGATATAGTTCATAGTGTCCGCATACGTACAGTTCAGCTTCTCACTCATTTTTTCCGCCAGTATAGCATGATATCGCTCTGCCTCCTCACCCATGGCGCCGTTGGTCGCAAAAATCAAGGGGGTAAAAGAGGCATGCTCTACCTGCAGAACGCGGTCGTTGTATTCGACTTTTTTCCGATTCTCATGAGTCTTTAGGAGTGGCTTCAGTTTTCGGTTCCTATTACTTGGAGCGTTCGGGTGTGTGAAACGGACGTCAAGAAACATTTTCTGCAGCGGCGCCCAAAAACCTCGACAAGAAATATCCAGTCTTGCATTGTCTTCCAGATTGCTTCCACTTGCAAGTTCTTCATTTCCCGTCAATTGGATCAGACCGGGCTCAACGCTCACATCCTTGCACACGTTACGTAAAAAAATATTGAAGAAAATATTGAAATAGGGGAAAAAATATTGAACTATAACTACTGGAAATAAAAAAAGGATAGCCGGTTGCTCTGCAAGTTGCACAGAATGATCCGATCAGATTAATAAAACTGCAAAACTTTTTTTCAAAATAGTGTTGTTTTTAGTGCGTGGCGTGATTAGAGAATGATACAAACGCGTAGAATATTAGCGTATTAGACCTAACTGGCAACGTTCATTGCCCTTAAAAATGATTGATAAAAATCGAAAAAACGATTTTCTTTTTTAAATCAAGTGTACTTAACCGGAAAGCCTAATTAAAAGTTAAGTTTTACTCGATAATGAACGTTACTCGATCGCTTTACTCGCTCGAAATTGATTTAAAACTCAAAGTTTAAGGCCAGCTTTTCTTGACACCAGGATAATTTTATGACCGTTTCCTAATGTGCTTCGAATCATGACTGAAAGGGCTTGAATGTGATATATCACTTATCCAATTCCTATGATTTATTGTGGTATCTAACGTTGGGCTGAAAACAACGAGAGTCGACCGCGGTTCAAGTTGACCAGAGTTTTTTGACCATACCATATTTACGCTTGCGATTAGCAAGCGTTATCAAATCGGAATATAGCCTTTTTCGTGTTAACAACTTGTTTAACAGAATCACTTGGTATCTTGGTTCATAATGAATTCAAATTTTCAAGCGTCTCCGGTACACGTAGTCTGGAGGTAACGAATACGTCTGAAGCGGCAAAGGTCCTCGCTCTTGTTGTTTTAGAGGTTTTGGCATTTTAAAAATCCGGCTGAATCGAAATTTGACTTTACATTAGTTGTAATTATACCTCATTTTTTAAAAGTTTCGTTTTTTCTAAAACATTTTTTGTCTTTTTATTGGCTAAATAGGTTTCGGCTTAAATAAATCGACCTAGTGGCCTCTCATTGTGAAATGTGGGGATTGAATTGCGTGTGTCCGCAGGGGAAAAGGGACATCAATTTTTTTCATTAGTTATGAAATTTTTTGAGTTTTTCCCAGACTATTTTCTTCTTCCCAATTGTGACCACCTGGAAAAAATTGGAAGGAGGTTCAGTGCAGTATCATATATCGGTACTATTTATTCCATATTTGGATTCTTAGTTGATTTTTAGTAAAATGAAAAACATTCAGCGAAGGAGATAATCTTTGTTACCATAACGAAAAGTGGTGTGTTAACTTTTATTATAGATGAGACTCATTCATAGTTTTTTTGGTGGAAATATAGACTGCACGTATCAAGCTGAAGCCCTGAATGTTCAGACTACCTTTCGTGTATTCGAATCTGGCCAGGACCTGTTTTTTTGAACGGGGAAATTCTCCGTTTCAAAAAAATTGCCGGTTTATGATTTGTCTGCTTATGTGTTGTCCGCTTACTTGCCACATGCTGTATGCAGTTTTCAGTGTACTTGTTTTTCAGGTTTTCATTTGCTCTTTCAATTTGTATTTCTACTAACTTCGAATTCGTTCAATTGCCTTTTTTTAACCTTTGTAAATTTTTTTGATTTAAATTTTTTCGTTCTAATTGATTTCTGTTTATATTTCATTGGCTCACTTACCTAACTTTGGGTCGTTCGGGCAAACTATAGTTTATATGCTTTTCTCCGGATCGCATAAAACGTTGAAAATCTTAGATTAGAATTTATGTTTTTCATGGCAACAATTTTTTTTGCTCGAATGTTTTCAAATTTTCATCAAACGCCGTCGAGTGTGTTTCTAGACGAGTTTTCTGCAAATAGAGCATCATTCAAGACTAATTTAGAATTTCATTAGTTGTAATTTTGAACATTTTTCCATTCTCTTTGGATTTGGTTGCTTCCTTTCCTATCTGCTAGCTTGCAATGCTATTTTTGTGGTATCTCAAGTGATGCGGAGCTCTGCTTCGTCTCTGTGTCTTAATAAACTACAAAAATGTTTGTTCTTTTATCAGTTACCTAGAGTTTGATAGTCTTGACTATCGAGATTCATATATTGCTCCTAATATTCGTGCTGCTATCGGAAAGGTATGTTTATAGAGAAGTGTCAAGGCATTTTTTCATGTTTTGTGTTAAGGCATGTTGACCCTGATTTATCTCAAGTTGTTACGCGACATTTTGTTCTTTTCACCTCTATTTGTTTCCAGCTATTGGTTATGTGGGCAGAAACAATAAGTAATATTCGGGTAAACTAATAAATTCTGGTCGAACAAGCAAGATAAGGACTTGATTAATGAAGGAAAGTTCCTTCTTAGCTTCGCATCCAGCTTGAAAAATATTTACCCAATTGCTTAAAATGAAAGAGAAAAAGGTCCCCGAGCATTTGCAAAACGCTTAGCAATTTCATCGGCTCAAAAATTGCCCTTAACATTTGTTTTTATTTTGGAATCCTAGAGATTTTTACTTCTAATTTTTACTTTTATTACTTCGTTTCCTCGGATTGGTTGTCAACAGGATATCTGGGGAAGAAAATATGGGGGAAAAGGTTTTGAATCAACCATCGGTATAAAGTATAGAGAAATACTGAAAGTGTACAATTTATGCTGGAATGATATTCGATGAGGAATGTTTATTGATTGTGGCACAAAATGTTTATGTCGGTGTCTCGGGTACTACAGGACGTGTATTGCTGTTTCTTCCGGTGTCCTCTCAAGGCTATCAAGGCAGTTTTCAGGATGGTGAAGGAGAGCTTCTTCCGGATATAGTTCATAGTGTCCGCATACGTACAGTTCAGCTTCTCACTCATTTTTTCCGCCAGTATAGCATGATATCGCTCTGCCTCCTCACCCATGGCGCCGTTGGTCGCAAAAATCAAGGGGGTAAAAGAGGCATGCTCTACCTGCAGAACGCGGTCGTTGTATTCGACTTTTTTCCGATTCTCATGAGTCTTTAGGAGTGGCTTCAGTTTTCGGTTCCTATTACTTGGAGCGTTCGGGTGTGTGAAACGGACGTCAAGAAACATTTTCTGCAGCGGCGCCCAAAAACCTCGACAAGAAATATCCAGTCTTGCATTGTCTTCCAGATTGCTTCCACTTGCAAGTTCTTCATTTCCCGTCAATTGGATCAGACCGGGCTCAACGCTCACATCCTTGCACACGTTACGTAAAAAAATATTGAAGAAAATATTGAAATAGGGGAAAAAATATTGAACTATAACTACTGGAAATAAAAAAAGGATAGCCGGTTGCTCTGCAAGTTGCACAGAATGATCCGATCAGATTAATAAAACTGCAAAACTTTTTTTCAAAATAGTGTTGTTTTTAGTGCGTGGCGTGATTAGAGAATGATACAAACGCGTAGAATATTAGCGTATTAGACCTAACTGGCAACGTTCATTGCCCTTAAAAATGATTGATAAAAATCGAAAAAACGATTTTCTTTTTTAAATCAAGTGTACTTAACCGGAAAGCCTAATTAAAAGTTAAGTTTTACTCGATAATGAACGTTACTCGATCGCTTTACTCGCTCGAAATTGATTTAAAACTCAAAGTTTAAGGCCAGCTTTTCTTGACACCAGGATAACTTTATGACCGTTTCCTAATGTGCTTCGAATCATGACTGAAAGGGCTTGAATGTGATATATCACTTATCCAATTCCTATGATTTATTGTGGTATCTAACGTTGGGCTGAAAACAACGAGAGTCGACCGCGGTTCAAGTTGACCAGAGTTTTTTGACCATACCATATTTACGCTTGCGATTAGCAAGCGTTATCAAATCGGAATATAGCCTTTTTCGTGTTAACAACTTGTTTAACAGAATCACTTGGTATCTTGGTTCATAATGAATTCAAATTTTCAAGCGTCTCCGGTACACGTAGTCTGGAGGTAACGAATACGTCTGAAGCGGCAAAGGTCCTCGCTCTTGTTGTTTTAGAGGTTTTGGCATTTTAAAAATCCGGCTGAATCGAAATTTGACTTTACATTAGTTGTAATTATACCTCATTTTTTAAAAGTTTCGTTTTTTCTAAAACATTTTTTGTCTTTTTATTGGCTAAATAGGTTTCGGCTTAAATAAATCGACCTAGTGGCCTCTCATTGTGAAATGTGGGGATTGAATTGCGTGTGTCCGCAGGGGAAAAGGGACATCAATTTTTTTCATTAGTTATGAAATTTTTTGAGTTTTTCCCAGACTATTTTCTTCTTCCCAATTGTGACCACCTGGAAAAAATTGGAAGGAGGTTCAGTGCAGTATCATATATCGGTACTATTTATTCCATATTTGGATTCTTAGTTGATTTTTAGTAAAATGAAAAACATTCAGCGAAGGAGATAATCTTTGTTACCATAACGAAAAGTGGTGTGTTAACTTTTATTATAGATGAGACTCATTCATAGTTTTTTTGGTGGAAATATAGACTGCACGTATCAAGCTGAAGCCCTGAATGTTCAGACTACCTTTCGTGTATTCGAATCTGGCCAGGACCTGTTTTTTTGAACGGGGAAATTCTCCGTTTCAAAAAAATTGCCGGTTTATGATTTGTCTGCTTATGTGTTGTCCGCTTACTTGCCACATGCTGTATGCAGTTTTCAGTGTACTTGTTTTTCAGGTTTTCATTTGCTCTTTCAATTTGTATTTCTACTAACTTCGAATTCGTTCAATTGCCTTTTTTTAACCTTTGTAAATTTTTTTGATTTAAATTTTTTCGTTCTAATTGATTTCTGTTTATATTTCATTGGCTCACTTACCTAACTTTGGGTCGTTCGGGCAAACTATAGTTTATATGCTTTTCTCCGGATCGCATAAAACGTTGAAAATCTTAGATTAGAATTTATGTTTTTCATGGCAACAATTTTTTTTGCTCGAATGTTTTCAAATTTTCATCAAACGCCGTCGAGTGTGTTTCTAGACGAGTTTTCTGCAAATAGAGCATCATTCAAGACTAATTTAGAATTTCATTAGTTGTAATTTTGAACATTTTTCCATTCTCTTTGGATTTGGTTGCTTCCTTTCCTATCTGCTAGCTTGCAATGCTATTTTTGTGGTATCTCAAGTGATGCGGAGCTCTGCTTCGTCTCTGTGTCTTAATAAACTACAAAAATGTTTGTTCTTTTATCAGTTACCTAGCACTGAAAAATCGGGCCTCTGAAAAGTCTGGATTGATAAATCTCCGTGACATAAGGTGATACCCGAGATTATTGGTTGAATCCTTGTCTCCTGATATTATTATAAAACTTTTTTTCTTTGGTTTTTGTATGTGGAGTTCAGCTTCCCGTCTGTTTGATTGCTATGTTAGTAATAAAATTTTTCTCTATAATTTCAAATGAAAGTAAGTTGGAGTTAAATTGTTCAATATCTGCGTTCAAAATATAAAGTTGTTTTGAAAGTAACAATTTATTTTGGAACTGAGTTTATTTTTTCTTAAGCGCTCACAGTATTTTGTTTTAAAGCTTATAGTTTGAAGTAAGCTTTCTATTTTTATTTCAGTTTTTTCCTGACCTTTTGTTTGTAACGTGGATTCAATTCTCTTAATGGCCTTTTTTGGTTTTGGTAAAATGAGTGGATCTGAACGAACGCCTAGACTTATCATAGTAAAAGCAATGTAGGTACATTTGTCAACAGTTTTCCTCTTTAAAATGAGGATGCAAAAAAAAATCATTTTTGAAGTTTTCCCAAAGTTTAAGTTCCAAGAAGGCGTTGAAAGAATTTTTGATGAATAAATTTTACTGGAGTATGACGGCTTAACTTGAAATAACAGCTTACTTTTAAGCTTGCTTTATTCGCTCGAAATTAGACAGACAATCAAAAATTTCGAATAGGTTTTGCTCGACACTGAGAAAATTTTAATGTCGTTTGAATCGCGCCTGAAACGTCTTTAATATGATATATCATTCGAACTATTACGATGGTTATTTGTGGTGCCTGATTAAGAGCTAATGAACGTGTTTATTTAAGAGTTAATTCACTTTTTCGTGCTTTGACTTTTGATTTTTTTTTGGTTCAATCAATTTCCTTTGTTATAATGAACTACCACCCCCCCCTTCTCCTCGGCACGCTAATGGTGTGCAGGCAAAACACTCGTTACTCAGGATGAGATTTTCTCGAAAGCAGCCTAAAATACTTTCATTTGTTTGGACTGGAGCCAAACTAGCATAAGTAAGTATAAGGGAACATATTAAACAAAGCTAATTGTATCAGGGCGAAGCCCTGAATGTTACGACTGCCTTTTAAGGACTGTGGAGCAATAATAACTTGAAAAAATTTTGATTTTTTTTTACTTTGGATCATTTTTCAGCTATCCAAACTGCGTCACATTTTGAATACTTCAATTAGAAGTAATTGTTGCAGCGAGACCTAGAAAAATTCTAGAAAGCAGAATTATAAAAATTGATAGATGATCAGGGATCTGATCTTGTTAACTATTCCCCCTTTGCATTAGGGCTGCCAATTCGTTACGAATGTACTAAATTTGTATAGGCTGAACTGTTCAATTTTTTCGTTAGAGATGGGAAATTCGTTACAATTACCATAAGGATGAAATAGTTAACAAGATCCGATGATCACTAATTGACTATTTTCAAACAAACAAATTTTTTACTCAGTTCTTTTTTTGTTAGTTCAAACATTTCTATGCCACTAATTATAACGCCCTTCAATTTTTTTTATTTCTTTTTCTTAAGAAAATATAATCAATGAGCCTACTAACCTGTGATGTCCATTTAAAAAAATAAAAATTGAAATTGTTGAGAAAATAATAAAAATTGTTGGCATCAATTTAAATTTTTCCGTAACTATTTAAATTTTCCTTTAGAAATTTGAATTTTTCATCAGTTTGTTTTTTCGCAATTTTGTGAAACGAATTCCCAAGCAGTTTTTTTGGGCACATCTATTTGGTACAAAAATTCAGATTGTCGTGAAAATTTCCGCGGAACTGTGAAATGGGATGTAAATTATCATGAGTTTACTCTGTACTTTGGCGGCGGATCGAATACCTTCGGAGCAAATTTACTTTTTTTTTCATTTTAAATTGTTCGATTTCAATTAAAATTTTTAATTTAAATTGAGTGGGCTCATAATTTTACGTTCAAATTAATTTATATATATTTTTTTAAATGCTAATAAATGCTGTGATCATTTTTAAATGATCACAGCCACTAGGAGACAGTAAAACCCAAGCAAGGTAATTTAGCGTGTACTTTTCTGGTAGTTTCTGGTCACGCGACAAATAAGTTGTAACTTTTCTTTTTTTCTAAATAAATGGGGTCTTATGCACTGAACGGCCAAAAATAAATCCAAACTAAATGAAGGCAAACTCCACTATCGTACAGCAAAATCTGTACGAAACATGTAGTTTATTATACTTGCGAATGCTGGTGTATTTAAGAGTATTGAACGTAGTGAAGACTCTTATTTAGGTTTTGTGATTTTTCAGGAAAAGGTCTTAAAATGCTCTAATAACTACAGCTGTGCATTCATTCATATTATTGCATTTATGAATGCACTTAGCCATATATGCAATTTTTGAGTTCAATTGAAATTCATCGGCGGAAAGTTAAGTAAATAGCACTCTCGAAATATGAATGTGGAAATGGCGCAAAAAAATGTTAACTATTTCTAGTTTCTAGATTTCTAAAAGTAGAATTTAATTTTTAGACTTCCATCGGAACTGTTTTTTTTCTGTTTAATTGAGCTCTATTTTTTCCTGTTGCTATCGTGGTTATTCCGGCTTAACAACTTAACCTCAGTAAATATTATTCTGATTGACAAGCAAAGCTTTTTCAACGATTTTTGACGCAATCGTTCTTTTGTTTTTCCATTAGCGGCTTTAATTTTTGATTCAGTCTAGTGGTTTTGCCTTAGATTATTTTGTTCTCATTGCTGAAAGTTTTTGTTCTTTGTGGATTCAAGCGAAATATGGCGGAAAAATTTTATAGATCAATTTTGTTTTCGGCAAAAGTTGTGTCTACTTTTTTTATTGTCGGTCTAGATGCCGCTAGGTAAATGACTTCGAATGCTTTTTTAATGGCAGTGATTGCGTTTCTTGACATTTTTTCCCAATGCTATCAGACAAGATGATGTATCGGAAGTATTGTGTATTGTATATGTACTTTAAAAACAAGGGTTATCAGTTACTGCTATTTTTTTTAAAATAGGCCAATAGTTTAACCGCTCAATTTGTATGTTGAAGCTTGCTTCTGTTTGAGTCTTTCATACACACGTTGAAATAAATAGCAAATGGTTTAAATTTTTTCGACAAACGTGTCTTCATTTTACTTGTCTTATGCAAGTTGAGTCGTACATATGGAAGTCCAACTCTTTCGCCTTCCTTAACAACCTTTCTAATAATGTAACTCGAATATTTTCGGGATTTTCTATTTAAAACCGATTTTTTTCTTTAAAAAAGTAGTTAAATCTAGAAGCCTTTTTAGGAAAACTGCGTCATAGAAAGTGAAACCAGTGGAGCGGATATTCAAGTAGTGGATTTGTACCGAAATATGGACATCGCCAGTGCTCAATCCGGACACTGGATGGACAAGGCTATCAATTGGACGTGGGATAGTGAATCGTTCAAGCAGCGAAAACTAGAGGTCATTATGATGCCACATTCGCATAATGATCCTGGCTGGTTGAAGACATTCGAACAATATTTTGAACAAGACACGAATGGCATCTTAAATAACATAGTCAATTTTCTGGAACAAAAAGAAACGTAAGCTACCCTAATTTGTTGTTTATGGCTGTTCTGTTGTGATGTAGTTAAGATAAGTAGGTTTTACATGTAGTTTTTGTTTACCGACCGAGTACTGTAAGTCATTCATTATTAACTTTTAAGCAAATAACCGTTGATTTTGATACATGGATATTTTCCCCGTTCATGTAAATGGATTCGATTGAGTATCAAGGATAGTTGAACATATGGAATTTATTGAGGCTTTATGATTTCTTGTTTTTTAAGGAGAAAGTTCAGTTGGGCTGAAATATCGTTTTTCTCCATGTGGTGGGAGAGAGCTAACGACAACCAGCGAGCCCGAATGAAGGCTCTGGTAGCCTCGGGCCGAGTGGAGTTCATCACTGCGGGATGGGTAATGGAAGACGAAGCAAACACTTACCTATACGCTATGGTTGACCAGATGATAGAGGGGAACCATTTTATTAAAGATCACTTGGGAGCCAAAGCTAAATCAGCATGGTCAATAGATCCTTTTGGTCAGAGTTCAACTGTGGCTTATTTGCGAAAGCGAATGGGATTCTCAAACATGGTGATTCAAAGGACACACTACTTGGTGAAAAAGTACCTGGCGTCCAAGAAGAATCTGGAGTTCAGTTGGAGACAGAATTGGGATCCAAGAGGAGACAATGATATGTTCACGCATATGATGACATTCAGCTCCTATTGTACCTTGGATCAATGTGGACCGGATAAACCGACATGTTGCCAGTTTGATTTCGCCAGAATGGCATCAGGACAAACGTGGGGCTGTCAGGGTAACAAGCCCGTTGTAAGTAAAATTTTGGGATGAGCTAAATTGAACATGCAAGCCAGTTTCCGTGCAAGTAGCTCAGAATGTTCTGGCCATTCATAAAAAAATCAAAGAGTTTTTTTTTCAAAGTCGTTTTTGCGTGTTCTGAAGAAGCGTGAATGAGACATAATCGCAACAGTTAAGTTCGAAAAATAAATAACAAACAGAAATGCAAAAATATTTTTAAAAAGTTTTTCACTACTTAGTTTTTCATGATTTTTGCGAAAGCAAGTGTCTTGTAATCGAGAATAAAGTGTTTCATTATATTTGCGAGAGCAAGTGTCGTGTAATCGATAACTAGACTTTTTCCGTAAACAACTTTTCATCTCTTCTTTGTCTTCTCTTCTTGCCGTGTCTTAACAATTTCCAGGTTTCTTTCCTACTTGGCCTAGGAGTACGGCCTTCGCTTTTGCACTCTTAAGTATGGTATTCGAGTATCGGTCGGACCTTTTTTTCAGCATGTAATGCAATTGAAATTTATTTTTCGGTAAAGTTGAGTTGTCGGACTCCCGTTTGTCTGCTCAAGTTTTGTTGTCTAAGTCGCCACATCACGGATTTTGTTTGTGCTGTAAGCAACTTTATTACGGTGGCTAGTGCAAGTGTTGTTCATTCTACAATCTGGGGGGACTAGAAAGATAGTTTTTTTCATAAAATCATTTTTTTTTCGGTTAAACTAATGTCTGTTCCAAGATTGTCGGCTTAGCTGCCTCATCACTGATTTTTCTTGTGCTGCAAGCATTTTTCATTGTAGTTGCATGTGTAAGTGTTGTTCACTCTAGCTTCAGGTGGGACTTCAAACTGCAAAGGTTTTTGGTTATAAGACCATATTTTTTGGCTCAACTTGGGTCTGCTCAATGTTTTCGGCTTTGTTTTCTCTTCGTAAATTTTGTTTCCTTGTTTTTTTAATATTAAAATGTCTGGTCTGTTTGTCTAAAATGAACTTCTTTCTCGAGATACACCAACTTTTAAATTTTGAAAGGCCTAGTTTTTAACTTTTTTTATTTTTCGACTTTTGTTTGTGTTGTATCGCAAGTGATACGAAGCTCCGCTTCGCGTCTGTGTAAAACCTAGTCGCGCACTTAATTTGCTCGAAATTAGACCAAAATTTCAAACTGGACAAATTTCTCAAACTTTTTAATGTCGATCAAACAACGATTGAAAGTGCTTTACGATGATATATTACTCGACATATTCCTATAATTTTTCATGTTACTTGATTTTACGCGAAACACAAAAAACTAAACAAGGTTAGCTGGTTGCTGTGCAAGTATCACAGAATTATCCGCTACCACACTCATAAAAAAATTTACAATGAGTTGTTTTTCTTTTTTCATTCAATTAGTGTCGTTTTTGTGTGCGATGAAACTGTACAAGCGCACAGAAAGTGATTGATTTAGGCATAATCAAAAACAAAAAGTCATAATATGAAAACGATTTTGAGAAAAAGCTAAAATTTTAGCTCAATAATAAAAAATAGTTATAGAAAATTTTCATTATCTAGCAAGCGCTAAATAAGGCTTTCAAAACTAGTTTTCTTGTCAGTAAGTTCAAATTTTTTTGGCCTAAATCACAAGTTTTTGTACAACGAATGTTAGACTAATACTTTAAATTTCAAACAAGTTTTTTTTTCGACACTGGGACAACTTTTTGAATGTCAAATGTCCTTCAAATCACGGCTTAAAGGGCGCTATTATGATATATTACTTGAACCTTTCCCATTATTTCTTGTGGTACCTGATTTTGCGTGAAAAAAAATTAACACACATTGGAATACAAAGTTCCTCTTCATTTTTAATGGTCGGGACAGAAAAAGAAACAAAACACTCACATGAATACAAAGGTCCTCCCCATTTTCAATGACGGAACAACGATTCGGTTGGTGAGTTGCAGGTATATGGTTTTATGATTCAATGGGTCAGTTAAAAATTTATGTTTACATTTCAGTGGTATTGAAATGACTTAGAATTGAATATATATCAATCAAGGCTTGAAAAGTGGTACTTTTATTTTGGACTTATATCATTAACCTCCTTGTTGTTTACAGTTGAACAGCTTTGGTAAGTAAAAAGAATTTGATCTGATTTGACTGTTTGCTCAGCATTTGCAAATCGATGTTGCTTCCTGTCTGCTTCTAACAAATTAACTGAAAAATAGTAACTCTAGAAAATCTACATGTTTGTATCTAACTGCCTCCTTGACTGTCTAACCACATTTTATTAGCCTGCTTGATTGTATTTCCTAGAGACAAGAAGGTTAAAGTTTTGATTGCTGGCTATTCTTTAGGTGGTCACACCTTATAACGTGGCAGAGAGATCGGCTAAGCTGGTGGATCAGTTCAAAAAGAAGTCGACTATCTACCGGTCCAATGTCATTCTGGTGGCTGTTGGACAAGATTTCTCGTGAGAATTAATAAATTTTCTTTGAAAATCTGAGATAATGTTTGCTTCCCAGAATCTCTAATTTCTGTTCGAGTATATCTTTTGGTTTTCAAGCTTAAAAAATAAGTGTTCATTTTGGTATAGATTTTGAGCGTCGTATACAAATACAATCTACCTCCTTATTAGATGCCTGAAGTCTGATTATTATCAGTGAAAATATAAGCTTTTTTGACACATATTTAGGTCCAGTCGCGATTATTTACATATAAGGGAAAGGACCAGTAATGAACGAGCTAATCAATTCGATGCGGAGAACCCCTATTGTTAGGACCTACGTACTGTTTTTGTTATTTTTCCGGGCTGAGAATTGTTGGCTCATTCCGAAGCAATCAGAGAAGATCATGGTGAGCGTCGGACCACCGATGTTTTGGTTGAGAGACAGACTATTTGAGATGTCAATAAGATGGAAAAATTCAGATTTTTTTTATGGGTTTAAGGATAGGATTTACGGGATAGGATTGTCCAGATATTGTCTTCTTTCTTGGTACAAGCTCTCTTATCTCAAAAGAAGGTGGAAGGCTTTTTCGAGTAATAGCACTGCAATGCGGATGACGACAATGGTTTTAAAAAGTGTTACATTTCTTACAATGAGGGCCTCTTATATTGCCGATGAGGATCATGATGATAATAATGTGGATGTTACAGGTTCCGGACTGTGGGTGAGGCGCGCCATGTGTTTGAGAACAATGAGATGATAATGGACTTTGTGAACTCACACCCCGAGTTCAACACCCACATCAAGTGGGGCACTCTGAGCGACTACTTCGAACTTGCACACAGTCGTCTGCGCCCATCTGATATACCACATTTGAGGTTAGTTGAGTTCGAATCAATGTTATGGCATGGAAAGCAGTTTGAAGATACAAAAGTATACCAAGAATGTATAATTTGTTTCAAGCTGCTACCGTAGATGCCACTGAGGTAGTCGTAGGAGTTGCAAATCTTTCGAACAAATGTGGCTGCTGAAATCCTTTAGCTTCCAATTTTATACTTGCATGATTTTTCAAAAATTAAAAAAAAAACTTAGATCTAAAAAAAACTTTTGGTGGCGTGTTGTAAATGTAATCTCAGGAGATTTGTATCTTAAATTTAAATATGACTGCTCAGCGCGTTTTTTCCTAGATATGGCGTTCTCATGATTTTTGAAAAACTTACAAAAATGCATATTTTCAAAAGCAGCTTAAATTTTGAAAATGTCGGCTTTTTTTGTCGGGTGATGTCAAGTTACTACCAGGAGTTGCAGATGTCGCCTCAATCCTAATTTCAGAGCTCGAATTTTCTTAGTACTTGCAATTGATGTTTTTTTTTCATTAAATCAGAATTAAACTAAGAAAAGAGTCTGATTTTATAAAAATGTCGATTGATGACAGCAAATGATTTACGTACGGGCTAATGAAAATAAAGAACTAAGTTGAAGGAAATCCTTTTTTTACTTGGTGATGCTGTAAATTAAATCTTTGTCAATTTTTTTTATTATAAATGGAGTTGTATGCTGTCGGCCATTTTTGGGTTTTTTAAGAATTCCAGTACATGAAGATTTGACCTGACCAGTGACAATTTAAAAAGAACTTTTTAGTTAAAATTGTTTAGGTCGTTCAATGTTTGAAATAAAAAGTGTTGTTGGATATACCCGTCTATTGCTACGGTTGCATTCATTTTGGTGTATTTTTATGTTTTTTTTTTAAATAAAAGCTATGTTTACGTTCAATAATCTGTTTGAAGCAACGGAGGTGCTTTACTCGCTGGTAAAAATTAACTCGGTGTACACATGCTGAAACTCCGTTTGGTCTGTTTTTATAGGTTCAAATAATTATCTTATTGAGTGTAAATTAGTGTGTATAGTGTGCTATGTGTTGTTATAAAGTAGAAAACATGATTAAGTATTGTTGATGTTTTAGTGGTGATTTCTTCACCTACTCCGACAGAAATGATGATTACTGGTCCGGCTATTTCACATCTCGTGCCTTCTTCAAGAAACTGGACAGAATCCTCGAATCCAGACTGAGATCAGCTGAGATAATATTTTCAATGGCAAACATGTTTGTGCAATCGGATAACAATGCAGTAGCTAATTTGTGGGAAGGGCTGGCGACAGAATTGATGGGTAAGCTGACTGTAGCAAGACGACATCTGGGCTTGTTCCAGCACCATGATGGAATCACGGGAACCTCAAGGGTAAGTAGTTTCGCATTGAGAAAGATTTTGATCGAACTCTTGAGTTGAAATTATGAATCAATATGCAAAATCTTTTTGTTGAAGCTTACTGTAAATGAAATAAAACCGAAAAAAATGTTTTCTTGCTTTGGTTTTGATGACTATTTGTTTTACTAATTTTATTCAAAATACCGAATACATTTTAGGATCCTGTTGTGATTGATTACGGCAAAAAGTTGTTCCAAGCCCTCGCTTTCGCCTCCGAAGTTATCACTCAAAGCGGACAATATTTGCTGCTATCTGGAGATCCTCTATACGTTAGTAAACATGCACCGAAGACCCTGGAAGCATTCGTGATTGATGAGTCCAGAACAGCACCGGAGTCGATCGAAGGAATCCATTTTGTGCCTATGAAAAATACGAAGGCAGGGAAGATGAAAGAAGTTGTTTTTTACAATTCGCTTGGATTTCAGCGACAGCAGATAGTGTCGGTTTTAGTCGATAGTCCAAATGTAGAGGTACAAAGTTTTCAGTATTATAAACTGAATAAATTATTTAATTGTTTGATTTAACTTTAACTTCCTTAAAAGATTGTTCAAGTGAGCAAAAAATGTCAGCAATCTTGAAACCTATGATTCGCAAATATAGCAAAATCAATATGAATCCCAAAAAACAGGCTGTTGTTCAAATGATGTGCGTAAACGATGTCTAAGCTTATGTGTTTTCAGGTGCAGTGTCACAAAGGTTTCAATGTTCATGCTCAAATTGCACCGAAATGGATGGCAGAAACTTCTTCGTGGACTATCGAGTTAGACCCAAATCTATACGAGCTCTGGTTCACAATTAATACGAAACCTCTCTCTTTGACAAGATACTTCATTGTGGCGAGAAAGAAGCCTGCTAGAAAAGCGACTTCAATATCGACCTTGTATGCGATGAATGTGGTAAAAGAAGTTGGAGAGAAGTTTCCTGCTAGCGGTTTCCAGATCGAGAACACGGAGCCAAAAGAGTTTAAGGTGAGAATCATCAGGTGTTACAAAGCATCAATGAACATGAGATTCAGTTACAGTCGTGAAAAGTAAGATAAAATGTTTTCAAATGTGCGGCAGCATTAATACTGGATGTTGAGTTTTTAGCAAATAGGATTGGCATGTGTTGCTCCATGAGTTTTTTTTGCATTTTTTGTTTTCGGAATTTTTGAAGCATCACAGCGATGCAATATGAAGGAAAGCTAAAATAAATACTTCGAATAGAGAAATGAGAGCTTATCAAGATTTCCAATTTTAAGCTCTCAAACTACCACTACATTCTGTCATTCGGAGAGAACGGACTACTCAAATCGATCAAAGATCGCAACACAGAGCGAGTGATAAATGTGGGGCTGAGTTTCGCTGCCTACCATGTGAACAGGGGTGGGGCATACCTGTTCTATCCCGGAGGACCCCCAAAGCCACTGCCCTCACTTGCGCCTCCGGTGGTGGTGGAGAAAGGTCATTTGTTCAGCCGGGTGACAGTGATGTTCGATAATGTGATGCACTCAATTAGAATTATGAACTCACCAGGCATGCTAAAACCTTTTTTTAACCGATTCTCTGATTCTATTTTTTTTTCAAAAGGCACGATATTGAGATATTGTTCACAAAAAACCTCAATAGCGGAAAGTTTTATTGTTAAATGTGAGGCAACATGAGTAATAGAAAACAATTATGAGCAAATTTTTTTTTGTTGATTTAAGTATCGGAGCATTGTGTGATAGTACGATGCTACTTTTTCTCCAAACTTTTGGTGGTCCTTTTGCCAATAATGCCTTTTGCAAATTTTTGTCACGGCAAAAGTTTCACTAATTTGAGGCTATTTTTTTTTCTTATTAAGAGTTATGAACGTAGTGAAGACTCTTATACAGGTCTTGCTGATTTTTTTTTCAGGAAAAATCTTAAAATGTTAAGAATGCACTCAGGTTTTTATGCACTCTTTGAGTTCAATTGAAATTCATCTGCTGAAAGTAACGTAACTAGCACTCTCCAAATACGAACGTGGAAATGGCGCAAGAAACGTGAACGATTTCTAGTTTCGAAAATGGAATTTAGTTTTTTAGATTTCCTGGGGAATAAAAACTTTGCTGTTGATCCAGTTTTCTCAAGTTTGATTAATGTTATCAAAAAAGCACTAATTGTAAATGGTTCTATAAATTCAAAGAGTTTAAAGGGCATCTATTTTTTTTCTTTAAAAGTCGAAAGATGAGAGTTTTTCAAAAAAAAGTCAGTGTTTTTTTTACGTTTATTAATGTTTTCCAATCTTCGATTGGCTATGTTTTCACTTTATAGAGCTGCTTTTTTGTTGTTTTGTTGCTAACGTTGGCAAGGCGCAGCTTTGCCTCTGATTTTATTGCATCAAATGAACTGAAAAAAGCCATTTTTTATAACACTGTTAACGACACGAGCGTAGTGTGGTGTGATAGTATGATGCAACTTTTTTCCAACCTTAGTTGCAAATAAAAGGAGTACTTTTGGTGGCACTTTTGAATCTGTAGGCTGCTTCATGTGTTTTGGCTTTTGATTAGTAATAAGTTAACACAGTTGACGCTTTTATAATTCGTTGATTGAACTGGAAAAAGCTATTTGATTCATAGAACAGTATCATAATTAAAATCCCATTTCAGAAGTTTTTCAACCCGAAATTTTTCAGCTCGAGATTTTCGAAATGCATATTTATACGCAATTTAGTTTAGCACAGTCTCTTTTTGTTACATGCAAAGTTATTGTGGTGGCCTTTAGTTTATTACTTTCAAATTTATTACCTGCAAAATTTGTGTTTTTGTGCATTTTAATGCTTTCATGCGTCCGAATCTTCGCCCCTTTCGTGCTCGTGTTTGCGAAGCCTCAGCCTGACATTTGTCAAACTTTGATTTCCGAATTTTTCCAGCTCAATATAAATCGCGAAAGTTTTGAAATAATTATTTTATACACTAATTGGCTTTGTACTTTCTATTTTATTACATTCAATTTAGTGTGGTTGCCTTTAGTTTATTACATTCCGAATTATTACATGCAACATTTGTGTTTATGTAAAATTTGAAGCTCCCTTTTGCCGCTTGGCTTTGATTTCTTTAAGCGTCAGTGGCACATTTATTTAGGGCTGCCAATTGGAAAACACGAATGTCCGAGGGCTGTGAATTATTTCCCGTAGAGTCCATTGATTTTTCAAATCTCATTAGTTTTTTTCGTTTCGGACCATTTTAAAGCTATTTTTGGCGTTTTTTCGCTGGTGTTTGCGAAGCGCAGCCTCGCATATGCATTAAATTATCTTTTAATATTCAGGTTCGATAACACTTAATTTTGAAGAGTTTTTTGAAGATAGTTTCTTCGTACTCTAGGGCTAGATGGCTACTCGATTGCTGTTTCAAACCTGGTGGATCTGCGAAAGACTAGCAACAGAGAACTGACAATGAGAATAGATGCGACTGATCTGATGAAGATGGACGACGGGGAAGTGAAGAAGACCTTCTACACTGATCTGAATGGGTTCCAGATGCAAGCCAGGCACTATCACTCCCAGTTGCCACTGCAAGCGAGTTTCTACCCCATGCCTTCACAAGTATGCTGAATGAGTATCAAGTATCTTAATAGATTAGTTTGCTCTTTATTATGATTTTACTATTGTCTGTGGTATTTACCTTTGCGATAAGCAATGGTGTTTCAACTGGGTGCTAGATTTTTCCCGCTCAGAATTGTGTTCACAGAATTTACACGTGAAAGGGTTACACGTCATTTAATTGCTGTTTACACATGCAGAGCATAGTGTGCTAGTACGATGCAGCTTTTTTCCACCCTAAGTCGCAAATAAAAGTGCTACTTTTGGGGCGCTTTTAAGCAGGAGGCAGCATGATCAGTATTATACCATGTACTTCAACATTTGATTAATAATAAGTTATCACAGTTGATGCTGTTTTAATTCATCAAATGAACTGAAAAAAGTTATTCGTTCCATATAACAGTTTGATACTTAAAGTTCGACTTCGGAAATTTTTCAACTCAATACATTTTGCAAGATTTTTGAAATGCATATTTTTGGAGCAATAAGAAAGCATGAACGTCTGAGGACTGAGGATTAATTCCCATTTATTTTTCAAAATTCACTAGTTCTATTTAAAGCTACCGTGTATAAATTCAATTTAAATTCAAATTCAAGGATCGTTCTGCGCAGATGGCAGTTGTAACGCCCATGCTTGAGGACGACAGAAACCGGCCTTCGAATCCGTTCGGGACCTATATTTTATAAATGACAATGTTTTGACTACTTTATGCTATCCTCTGTCTGCTTATTTTTTTCGGCTTTTTTCCCGAAGAATGGACATTTTTTGGAGGTTCATCTTTTTTTTCTAACATTGCGAATGCTATTTGTAGTATTTCTAATGTTGCAGGTAATTGATTTCCTAGTTTTTTTTGAGAAAAAACTGTTTCGTGAAGTTTTGTTAATTTTTGATTTGTTGATTTATCTGCACGTTGTAATAGTAATTCATTTTTTGTAGCTTAAGTGGTGCCTGTATTAATTTTGAATCTCAAATTGGCAAGTTAGGATCGATGTGTCTGTTCCTGATGATTGTCTGAATCAGTGGTAAATTTAAATCCTAATTGGACAAAACATGAATAGTTACACATAGTGGAGTTTGGGTTCAGATGATAATCAATGGAGTGAAGGGATCAGCGAGAGTGACTCTCCACTCTGCACAGTCTGCAGGGGCAGGTATCACCCCAGAAGGATTCATCGACATCATGCTTGACAGGAGACTCATGCAGGACGACGGAAGAGGAGTTCAACAAGGTTCGCGGTAGTAGTTTTTTGCATTCAAAAATCAAAATTAAGTGAATTATTTTCTTCAGTTTTTAATGCTTGCGATTAGAAAACGTTATCGACTTTTTTTAGGTTTTCAAATGGCGTAAATATAATAAATTAATCATTTGATAGGTTGATTTATAGTCAATTTGAGTTCAGCGTCTTATTCTGCACATTTGGTCTTAAGTCCATACCTGGTTATAAGAAGTTCGAATCCGGCCAGAACCTATTTGCAAACTGAAATTTTGCCGCTGGAAAAAAATTAATTGTAACCTATTTTTGACTTCTCATTTTTTGTCGACTTGGTTGTCACCTGCGCGCTTTTCTGGTGATTTAAGCAATTTTCTCTGTAATTTTGAATCCGTTTGATATATTCCTGTTATGGTGCACGTTTAAGAGTAATGAAAGTAGTGAAGACTCTTATATAGGTCTTGCTATTTTTTTTCAGGAAAAGTCTTAAATTCATAAACTCCTCGTCAAAAGTCGATTTTGAAGTAAAAAGCTCACCGAGTAAACATTTTGGTTACTTTGTTTTCAAACGCAATCCTCTCAAGAAAATTGAGAAATATTTAGCACAATAAAAATGGATTAAGATGCTACTTGCATTGTTGCTACTTGCAAGAGCCATGATGCTACTTGCAAAAGGAAAAGATCAATGATGGAGCGTACAAAGTTTGAATACGGATTTTTAAAGCTCAAATCATCTGAACACATAAATTAGCTTTGTTAGCGCATGGCTTAACCGAAATTTTATATGCTTTTTTTTCGAGCGAGTATTTCTCTTGAACGCGTTTTTTATGTCCATGATTTGAATGGAGGGTTAATCGATGTCTGAACTTGTGAATGAAAGAATTGAAGACCTTGATTTAGGCCTTGTCGTTTTATTGTTGTTTAAAAACAAAGTCTCAAAAGTTTACTAACGAACTAATTTTATGCGAGGTGCAAATTTCAATTATTAAATTGATTTAACTGCAAATTCTGAGGCTTCCTGAAAACCAGAAGGCTGGAAGCCCATAGTTAAAGATCATGGAATAGACCAACTTAGGTTCTGTGACGTTTTTTTTTTTATTATTTAAAGGAAAACGTCGTTCACACTCAAGTTGAGTTTTCGTGGTTTTCTCATTTTTGAAATAGAAAGCAAACAATGATATCATAATAAAAGTAATAACGGCGTTGAAAATATGATCGAATTCTAATTACACTAGCGTCAGCCTAGTGTATCATTAAAACCTTCTTTTTTTTCTAACCCAAGTCGCAAATAATGGTGCCACTGTTGAGGCACCTTTACAGCTTTTGATTGCTCCTGCTTTGACATTCGAATAGTAATAAGTTCACTTAGTTGATGCATTTTTATTTTATCAAATGAACCGAAACAAATTATTTGTTTCAAACAATATAACAATAATATAAACTCGATTTCAGAAATTTGCTAACACAAAATATCTCGCAATTTTTTGAAATGCATAATTTATATATAATGTGGCTTTATGCGTTGCTATTTGTTACATGCAAAGTTATTGTGGATGCCTTCAGTATGTGAAGTTCCAAATTATTACTGGCAAAATTGTGTCTATTTGAATTTTTTGCTACTTTTGCTGAATGGCATTGGCAATTTATTGGCATATGTAGCTGGTTTATTCGTGACTAGTGTTTGTCGTTGGTTAAGTGTGCGTGGCTGAGTGGTTAAGCGTATGTGAGATTCAAAATTTCTTGATTGAATTAGGTCGCAGATCGAATCCTTGACTTAGCCGAATTTTGCTAATTCGAGGCTTTTTTCTATTTTTCTTATTGCTATTTCTAGAGCTGCTTTTTTCGTGTTCTCGCTAGTGTTTGCGAATCGTAAAATTATTCCCAAGCAAAGCTTATGAAGTTAATCATGCCAAAATTTCAAAGTTTCTGACTGAAATTCAAAGTCTGTTGAGTCAAACGTATCAAATTTTGGTCGGTAGATGTAGATTTTGTGAAATATTTTTTGACCGAGCGATTTTGAATTTCTGGAAAAGTTTCAAACTATCATTTTTAATGCTTGAGGTGATTACAGAACAAAAAACTGCGTAGAAGAAATAGTGAATTAGACATATTCGAAAATTTTTGCGTGGAAAACAAATGTTGTCGAATGTCTGATTGACTATTTTTTACGCATTTATTTGTTCTGTAATCACATCACGCACTAAAACGACACTGTAATCACATCACGCACTAAAGAAGTTTTCTTGTAGTTTTTATGAACGTGGTCGGAACATTCTGAGCTACGTGCACAGCAACCGGTTATTCTCGTTTTTCTGTGTGTATCTTATGTCGGTTAGATGCCATATCGCGATTTTTTTTTGCTTTAAGTTTTTTTCAATTTAATTTCAAATATAGAGCTTTCTAAAGTCACTTTTACCAAAGCGTTATTTTTACAACTAGTTTTTTTGAATTTATCATCCAATTGCCTCCTTGCTACCCTTATTTTTTGTTATGAGTAAGTTTTGTATTAAGCGAATCTTCGAAAAGTTTCGACCAAAAAGGAAAAGAACGACCAAAAGACCATTTGTTTACTATAGATGGAAATACCACCAGGTCATGGCGGGATTGCATTTAACTTTCCTCGTTGATTTTCGGCCTCTTCTTGAATGACGTCATTACATTTTCATGTCCGGGTGACCAGATTTCAACTCAACTCGAATCCAGTAGTCAATGAAATAGTGAGGCTTGGTGTAAGTAGATTATTATAATGGGCGGGACAAACAACATGTTCGACTAATAACAACGAACCCGTATATCGTCCCTTAAAACGGTCGATAAAATTGAGTTCTTTATCAACAGATATCTAGGCGTTGGGTGAAGTTTTATGGGCTTGATCAGTTGCGAAGAAAAATACGACCGTATTCGTCGATTGAACAAAGCAGATATAAGACTGCCTCGCTATGATCTGCTTATCGTTCCATATGAACGGAGTATCCATTTTCACAGGCTGAAAAACTGGTTCCGCAAACTTGTCTCAGATGACGTCTTTTTTCTTGCACCAGAGGGTCTACCAAAACTCTCGAGAGACTTCTGTAACTGTTTCAAGAAGTTTTGGAACTTTAAATTTGACTGTTCAATTTTTTTTAATAATCTGAACTCACCTTCAAAGGCAGGAGTGTCTTCTGCTTTTTAAATCGATTGGAAATTTTGAGCTAACTTTTAGAGTCAGGAGAGATTTGCGTTGCTTTATTTTTTAACAGACGTTTTTAAGCTCACTTCGAGAGCTAGTTCTGGCTTTCACTCCTCAGTGCTCAGTACTTGGTCGTATCAATTCAAGTCAACTTTGAGTATTGGGGATGGTTGTATAGTACACGTTGTTCAATGGCAATAATTTTTGGGACTAACTAAGCTCACTTTATGAGCTCGGGAGCATGTTCCAATAATCCTCTTTTATCACTTAAGCCCGGGATGGTGTGTAAAATTTTGGAATTTGGCTTTCATTTTCTTTTCTGTCTGCTAACTTGCATTGCTATGCTTGTGTGGTATCTCAAGTAGTGCAAAACTCGGCTTCACCTTTCTTTCAATTTATAAAATCTTTGTATCGCTGATTCTACGACATTTTGTAGGGTAAACGCCACATCCAATGGACCAGGATGAACCTTGAGGTTTTTAAAAACGCTTGAAATAAAAGTAGGGTTTTTGGTCGCCGAAATTATTCACCGTTTTTGGGTGATATACATTACAATAGTTGTCAGGTTCAAAAAGATGGATCGTTACTTGCTGTACTTCGAACAGTTTTAATAATTCATTTCAAAAGCCAAATATGTTGGTGAAAGAAATGTAAAACATTTCACCTGACAGAGTAATGTATTTACAAAATTTATCCTAGTAGATTGTACAATTGAGTGAAAATGAAATGACTATATGTATTATAATTTTTACCCTTGCGATAAGCAATGGCTGTACAATCGGGTACAAGATTTTTTTCCGGTAAACAACTTTGTCCACAGGACTTTTTCATCTCTGACGTGCTCAATTACTTGAAATTCAAATAAAACTACTATCGTATAAGTAGTAATTAGAAACAATATCATACAAGTAGTAATTAGTTAAAGCCTAATTCAGGTTTTAATTATCTTTTCAAAAAAGTCTCTATTTTTTTTCGGGTTGGCGGTTTTCTTCCTAGTTTCTCTCGGTTCATTTTCCGTTTTTTGAACCGCCATTTTTTATCTAATAGTTTTTTTTTATTCGGCAACTTTTTAAAGCATGGGTTTTGTTCCAATTCAAACAATTTTTACTATAATGAAAATTCACAAATTTGAATTTACCAAGTCTATTTTGAGTTTTTTTTTCTTTTTTTTTTCCCTAAATTATATATGTTTTAACATCTTCAGTTCATGTTATATCGACCCAGTCAATTTGTATTGGGTAATTTTTAGGGCAAAATATATCCGCATGCGATGCGATTATGTGTTTCAATTTGATGGGTCATAAAAACTTTTAAATTAAAGAAAAGTTTTTTGACAACAATTTTGTTTTCGGCTCAATTGGTTTCGACTCAAAGTTTGTCGCCTTTGTTGCCGCTCGGTAAATTCTTTCCATTTGTAAAGGCTTTTTATGAACTCATCCGATACAAGCGTGAATTTTTGAAGCTGTAGTTTTGTTCGACTTTCGAGTTTTTTTTTTCAAGTAATTTTTTCAACTTGATTTTTCAGAAGGTTTATTTGACTTGTCTTTTTTTTTTCATTCTCTGTGTCAAATTTAATACATACAATATACTCAATTCATGCAAAAATTACCCCCCTTTTGTATTCTACAGGTGTGAAGGACAATAAACTGACCCCGAATGACTTTTGGCTAGTGCCAGAGTTCTTCGACAACTCTCTCGGAACTGCACGAGATGCCTCTGATTACGCAATTAAACCGACAGTGATGTCTCAGCAGGCCAATTTGGCTCTTAATAACCCACTCATTGCTCTTTTACCTGCGGATGACAGCAAACAGGTGAACGAAGGTCATTCGGGCAAAGTACCTTCTCCAGGTGGATTTCAAGGTCAGGCGAAGAGTTATTTGCCATGTGACGTGCATCTACTGAACCTGCGGACTATGAACTTGGAAGAAAAGGAGGCGCTTTTGATTCTTCATCGATTGGTAAGTTAAATGAAAATTAATGAGAACGGTGTAATTAATCGTAGAATTTTTTTTTAATTTTCTTGCAATAATTTTTCAAAAGTGCGAAAGTTTTCGATTCGATTTTATGTTGTTTCATTTTTAAGAGTCGATGAACGTAGTTGAAGCTCTTATACAGATAATGATGATTTTTGTTATTTTTTTTTAGGAAAAGTCTTAAAATTTGTTCAGGCTCAGCTTTACTTTTTCGTGGTTTTTCAGGGTCATTCGTGTCGTGTAGCATCCTCAGGGAATTTGGTCCCAACCAATTGTTCGCTGAATAATGGAATAATAGACCTGACTAACGTGACAAAGGACCTGTTCAAATTCACGGAATATTCTTTGAACGGAATCCACAACTTGAGCGAGGCGCACCAGAAAACTATCCAGATAAACCCATTTGAAATCAATACTTATTTGATGCAACTGGACAAAAAATGAAGATGATTGGATCTATTGGGCTCGTGATTTCGTTCATCGAATGTCTCTTAAATATTACGCAAGAAGAGAAACCTAAAAGTAGTTGTCTTCAAAGCTAACCTAAACACAAGCTAATTTTTTTGCTGCCAAAATGGTTTAAAAAGACAGGAGTGGGCGTATAAATGTACAAATTAAAGGACCATGGTTTACGGCGGTACATATACCATATGCAGTGATTGATGGGTTTGAATTTTATTACTAGTGATCGTTAACATAATAGATTCGGGTTTCCTAATAACATTTTAGTTATAAATTGTATGATTGTATCTATTGTAAATAATTTTCAATATATATGGACGGGTTTATGGATTTTTATATCTTCACGTAGCAAAATGAGCGTTAATCTCAATGTTTAAGAGGCAAAAACTTTGTAGAAACTCTTTAAACAAGATGAACTCGACTCAATTTCAAGGCTAGACAGTAGCTGCACACTTTTTGTCCAAAATTTTGCGATTACAGTTGAATGTCAGTCTAAAAACAGCAACCTCCATGCTTAGAAAATTTATAGCAAACCGATTCAATCTATGAAATGAATTAATACTTCAAAGTTTCATAGCTGGATTAGCTTGCTAAAAAAAACTTAACTTTTTTGCTCTGTGAATCAGTTGGAATCATTCAAAAACTCATCGCTTGACTAGCTTGCTTTAAAAAAGTTTTCGCGAACTGGTTCGATCTATAAAAGTTAGTTCAAGTTTTTTAATCAAAGTTTCGTCGGTTGAATGGCTCCAATAGAACAATTTAAACGGTTCCCTGCCGGATTTCCTTCCTGAAAAATTCTGAAGTCTTTCAAAGTTTCATAGCTGGAATAGAAAAAAAGAGTTTCATTGCTTAGAAAAAAATTAATTTTTCGTTGACCGATTTGGTTTATTTGCACAATCAAAGTGTAGTGTATTATTACGAAGATTTTTTTCAACCTAAGTTGCAAATAAAAGCGCTCATTTATTGGCAATTTGGTATATTTCAATTTAAGCATTTACACAATTCAAGTTAAGAGGTATTTAAAAAAAAAACAGCTTATAATTTTTTCTCAAAAAAGGAACACTTGAAATTTGTTTTTTTTTTACTAATCAAAAAGACTTTTTGTTACCAAACAACGATAAGTCATCTGCAACAACAGACCATTATCGAAAAATGTATGGTGCTACTGGCCAGTTTTTCAGACAAGAAATATGATCAAAGATGAGCCCGATTACCGAGATGGCGACCGTGTAGACGAACACGGTCGGCACGAGCGGCGCAAAAAGAGCCGATCGCCCTCCTCCCGCAAACGGCGCTCATCCCGGGAGAGACGCCACAGATCCAGATCGGGATCCAGAGACAGAGAGAGGAAGGAGAAGGAAAGTAATGCGCCTAGGAACAAACACGGTCGCATTAGCAAGAGGAGGAAGCCCTCTATCTACTGGGATATGGCACCAGAGGTTAGTCCGGTTGTACGACTAATCAATGAAAGATCATGACTAGTGATTTATAGTTTAATGTTTGCAGCGCTCCCACTCGAAAATCACTATAAACTTGGTCTCAATTTATCAATAAAAGAATTTTGTTTTAATATTTTCTTTTTTGTTGAGAGTTGTCTTATTTGAGGAAGCCTTTTTAAAAATCAATCAACGAGTCACTAGTGCAGAACAAAACTTCAAAGAAAACAAAGCAGCAATAAACTCTGTTGGGAAGCAGATGCTCTTTAATGGATATTTTGTGAAATTGAAACAATGGAATATTGGAATGAAATTTCCGTGGTTTTATTTCGTATTTCATGTCGCAGTCATGTAGGCTGAATATGCTCTCTGAGTTAAGCGTTTAGAGTTTTTGAAATCAGACAATGTGACAATTAGGTCAATGAGAACATTTGTTTGATGAAAATGAAATTGATCGATGAAATGTATAAACCCTCGTGCTTGATGTGAATGCATTGCAGCAGACAGTACTTATTACGCGAGTGATTTTCCGCTAAAAGACCTGTAATCAGTGCAAATGCAGTCACATTAATCAGGGTTTTTTCTAATTTCAAACGAACAGTTTCCTTTTTATCGAATAAATGTTCTCATTGAGCAGACTCGCATTGTCTAATTTCAAGTGTCAAAGCGTTTTTAGCTTTTTGTCAGTGCGAGTATTCATCTCTGTTTCTTTTTCAGTAATGACGATCGAGAGATTTTAGGGTTTCGAGCACATGACGCCGATGCAGTACAAAGCACTCACAGCATCCGGACAACTACCAGCGTCTACCTTCGCTCCTGGAACTCTGGGTCCAAGCCTGGACGGTGGTTACGTCAGCATGCAGAGTCGTAGAATCTACATTGGTGGGATACCTTTTGGAATCGCGGGAGACCAAATGGTCGACTTTTTCAACCAGAAGATGCACGAACAAGGTCTGGCTGTAGGTCCAGGCAATCCAGTACTTGCATGTCAGATTAATATAGACAAGAACTTTGCGTTTTTGGAGTTCAGAACGCATGAAGAAACAACAGCAGCGCTTGCATTTGATGGCATCATACTTATGGGTCAGCCTTTGAAGTTAAGAAGGCCTAAAGATTACGTGCCTACAAGTGCAAGTGAAGTGGGTTTGGCTCCTGGAAGTTTAAGTGGGGGAATCGCGCCTTGTGTTTCGGACTCGATTAACAAGATTTTTATTGGTGGATTGCCCAACTACTTGACAGACGATCAAGTGAAGGAACTGTTGCAAACATTTGGTCAATTGAAGTCTTTTAGTTACGTGAAGGACCCAGCCACTAATTTGAGCAAAGGATACGCTTTCTGTGAATATCTGGTAAGTATTTGATTTTGTAAAGCTAATAGAAATACCTTTTCGGCTTTTTTTTATCCTTACCTCGAATAAGCATCAGTTTTATGGTGTAACGAGGGGTTTTACAAGGTTAAGTATGAGGACCAAATATGTTTGTAATGGCCTAATTAGTCTGCATGCCATTTTGTATTTGATCGGAAAATAAGAATATAAGATAACATGAAAAAAGTTTGCTGGTGGGGGTAAAAAAAGGTAAAGCCGTCTTTTCTCCCATGTTAATGACAATTTTGCAAACTCGAGTCATTAATGCTGTTTTGAAAGGTTTCAGTAAAAAGAGTTTTTTTGCCGCGGGCCTCTCTCTCGCATATATGTATCCTTGCGATAAGCAAGATATTGCAATCGAGTACTAGAGTTTTTCACGTAACTGAATTTGTTCACAGAATGGTTAAAATTAGAAATGGTAAATTTAGATTAAGTTCATATCGATTTCAAATTTTATTGCGTCTCCGGTCCACTTGGCCTGGAGGTAACGAAAGCGACTGGGACGGCAATGGTCGTGAATTCGAATTTGACAGTACCTATTTTTTTTTTCAAACGGGAAGTATTTCCAAAAAATAGTCGGATTTTTTTTGTCTGCTGATGTTTTGTCGGCTTAGTTGCCAGATCGTATAATTGTTTTTTTTGCTGCACATTTTGCTGCTTTTCATATTGTAGTTGCTTTTAGTGTTTTGATTTATTTGTGCTGTTTGCAGTTTTTTGGCTGCGTATGTTTTTCTTTGTTTTTTTTTTGCTTAAAACCTTTATTCTGCTCAAATGATTTCGGCTTTTTTTTTCAGCTTAGTGACCTACTTTTGGGTCGTTTCACGGTAAACAACTTTTATTCTCACTGAATCGCACAAATTGCTATAAATTTTATAGAAAAATAGTTTTTTTTTCTGTCGGCTTGATAGGTTTCGGGCCAAATTATATCGGCATAATGGCCTTATATTGCGTCTTTCGACGAGCTTAACCTTTTGATTTTTTTGGGTTTATAGGGTTTCTGCTTAGATGTTTCCAACTTCGTTACCACTTGGTAGTTTTTCCTTAAAATTGACTAAGCGGTTTGTGTTCGGTTCAAAACTAGCCTGATACATTTTGATAGAACTAGGTTTTTCGACATATACAGTTTTTTTTCTGACTTAGCGGCATTCTGGTTTTTATCGCAAATGGTGCGAAGCCGAGTCTCTCCTCTGTGTATATATTGGCGCCAAGGCCGTTTTAGAGAGTATTGAGAGTTATACCGCTAAAATTGAGTCGTGTATGGTCAAGGTATTCAACTTCCGAGGGGCGGGGCGTCCCTCCCCTCTAATCCGCTCCTGCCATCTGCAAACAGTTAAATAGCGCTGCATTTTGAGCCTACAATATGTCGTTAAATTTTCATGATCATTACGATGCGGGTCATTTGGCTCCTTGAAAATGAGCAATTTCACAAGTCCAGATGTACGCCATGAAATTTTTCGGACCGATAACCTTAATTAACTGTAATCGTACAGGACGGGAATATCACGGACGAGGCTTGTGCTGCTCTGAACGGGATGCAACTGGGGGAGAAGCGGCTGGTTGTGCAGAGAGCGAGTGTGGGAGCCAAGACTCAGCAGGTGTCCAGTCAGCAGATCAACAATGTCCCAGTGGTGCCACAGCTGCCAGGACTGGACGCTCAGAAGGTGGCAACTGGCGCTGTCAATCCATTCAAGATGGGAAAACCGACTGAAGTGCTTTGTCTCATGAATATGGTCAGTAATTCAGTAGTTAATTTAAGCGCCGATTATTTGTTTTTCCAGTGTAAAGTTCCTAAAAAGCGTCGAAATCTTCTGCACGGTCGGAATTCAGCTGTGCGTTGAGGTATATTGTCCACATTCCTGCCAGGCGTTGAGGCTTTCTTGGTTTTTATCCAACTTATTTTTTTTGCCTCATATGTCGGCTTTGTTTCTGGTGTTTTTAAGATTCGATGAACGTAGTGAAGACTGTTAGTAGTATTGTATCGTGTCCCGGATCCTAAGGGGGGGGGTCCTTCCTAAGGGGGGGGGGGGGGGTCCTCACGTAAAGCAAAATCCTAGGAAAGGGGTCCTTAATTTTTTGGAGGACCCCTATCCTAGGATTTTGTAAATGATCGCAAGTTCCCACCCCTAAAGTAAAAGACCCCCTCCTTAGGATCATGTTAAGCTGAGCTCAACAACCGGGACGCGATACAATAATTCCTTCTAATTCCTTTGAAAGCGGTCCCTTTTCCCGCGATAATTAAAATTAATCGTCCTAATTCCTGAACTTTTCTTTTTTCGTCCTAGTTTCATGTGGATATCATTTCCTGGCTTTCTTTCTTTTCGTCAAAGATTTGTCATGCTATTAAAGTTTATTATTCAAAACAAGCCTAAGGATTTCACACATTTGTTTGAATTAACACTTGGTTTGTGTCTACTAGTTTATTTGCCTGAAGCTATTTATGTTAAAACAGTGATTGAGCTCAATACGAGTATTTTATTAGTTGTAAATTGGTAAAAACCAAAACATATACAAGTCGAAGTATAAAAAGGACGAAGAGTAAAAATCATCTGAAAATATATGTTTCAGACTTTAATGTTTATTGTTTTGGTTTTCTTTGCGGTGTTTTTTAGATGGTCGTTCTTCTGAAGCTTCAGATAAAATAAATGGGTTTTTTATAGGGGGACGTTCACGGACTCGGCTACTAGAAGCTTCTTCTTCTTCTTGCAGCTCTGCTTCTGAGTAGGGCCGCTGTAAAAATCCCCAATCCGGGAGTGTAAAATCGGGAGAACTGTTATCAGTTTCATTGTATGAGTTGGCCCACTCGGTGTCCATGTAAATGTCTTCTAGAAAAGCATTTTCTTCAGCGGCTTTATGGCCAAAGGGCACTGTCGAAATTCCGTCGAAAAGTAGAAAACGTTTTGAGTCGAATGGTGATAATGCAAGTTTGTTTTGTTTCACTGTCATATTGGTGTGACCTTTCGAAACTATATTATAGTTGTATACTCTCATTGTTTTTCCAGTGAATAATGTGTCCCTGAAGGTTTGGTGGACCAGTTCTCTCTGTGCACTCCGTTTAATTCCTTTGGCACTCAATTTTTGAGTGCCTTCTAAACAATAGCAAAATTATTATTCTTTTCTACAACGTTGGGGATAGCTTCATTTCACTTCAGCAACTCAATTTATACCGAACAAAATTTGATTCATTTTACCAAAAAAGAGCAGAAGACTCTAAATTATGATTAAAAAAGAGGAAACAAGAGGGAATATGTTGTCAGATAAATCAACGTTTAGGCAACATTGTATAATGTTGCCTAAATCAGCTAAATGCCCATAGTTTAATGCAACAAATTAAGGGGTGTAGGTAGGTTGGTGGTGGTATTTTTGTTCTGTAAAAGGTAGGAATGGGGGGTGGAAGGGTGGCTTAAATTTTATTTACCATTAAGGACGACCGAATATAGTTTCGGTTTTAGGGCGATGAATTCTCTGATCGGCTTCCCACCAGTCTCGTCTTTGAACTTCAGCACAACTTTCTTGTTGGTATCCTCGAACAAGAAATGGTCCTTATCGTAATTTGAAAAGTCGAAATCAGCTTTTATTTTTTCCAAGTCTCGGTAAACGTCATCAGTTTTTATGGCGTAAATAAAACTATCCGTGTCGGAGTAAAGGAGTTCCAAGTTTAGATTTGGTTTCATTTTTTGATAGTGAAACTGAAACATGAAACGCTTGGCGAGGTCTAGGATGGTCGCACCAACTATCATAGGTTTATCCCACAATATTTTTGTTACTGAAAAGCTAATTGTGGCTAATTGATCGTCAATGATTTGAAAGCTTTTCATTGTGCTCAGAGCTGTTTTTTGTAAAAGTTCTCTCTCATTCCTTACAATCTCCAGCTTCTTTCTTCCTAACTTAGACTCCATTGTCTTACCGAAAGCTGAATTAACAATTAGCTTGTAGAAGTTCTCCTGGAATTTATTTACCGCGGCTTTTCGTAGGCGGGTGTTGAGGTCGACAAAGGGTGCCATCCAGTGACTTTGGCGGAACTGAAGAACTTTTCCGAGGTGAGTTATTTTCATTCCTAGCTCATGGTACAATTTTAGGGTAAGGTAGTGCAAAACATAACCTTCTTTAGGATGCAAGGTCTGTAGAAGCTTTGGCACTTTTGGCAGTGTGGTGATTCCCAATTTTCCCAACATGTCGACTTGCTCGTTGCTCATTGCACCGATGTCCACTACTTCACGAGAGGGGGCAAGGGGGTAATCAGCAAAGAAGTCGTGAAGCTCTTCGGGTATGGTTAAATTGACTTCAACTATATAACCCCATTCTGATGTTTCGCTGGTGAGCAGTATGTCTGCCAGACTTTTTTCAACTATTGAAAAATCGTTTAAGGGCAAAGGGCAGTGTTTCATTATCCCCCCGTACAAATTGTTTGCATCAATATTGAGGATGTAGCTTGATGGTTCTGAGGGCGAAAAATCGTCGAGGTATTTATTGTTTGCTTTGTAAAATCGGCGCGCGTAAATCGACGACATGCCTCCTCGTATCATTCGCTGCACAAGGTCTAGATGTTCACGGTCCGTTAAGAGTTTCAGTTCGGGCTTACAAACTTTTAGAAAGGCGTCCCCGGAAAGGTTACTTGCCGTGAAGTAACAGGCGCAATCCAGCCCGTATGTTTGATAGCAAACTTCACGAAAAGCTTCGAAAACGGAAGCAAGCAATAGCACATCTGTAGTCAAGTACAAGTCGTGGTAATCACCAAGTGAGCCACACTTCAGTTCGGTGAAAACTTTAAGGGCATGATTGTACTCGCTTCTTGAAACACTCACATCCCCTCCTGTTAGACTATTTTTCCACATTGCTCGTGGGGGAAGGCGAGTTTCTCGGAATTTTTCGAATGAGTTGAAGTATGAGTAGGGGTAATGCCCTTTCTGTTTCAACAGACTGACTTTTTCACGTGAGTGGCCGAGTTTTTCAAAATAGTTCTCCAGCAGAAAAAACTTTTCGTTGGGCAAATTATCGACAAGTTTTGCCAACGATGCCAGCATGAACCTATACGAATCGATGAATCTCAGATTTTCGTAGAGTTTTTTGATTTTTCCGTTTTTGTCCGTGTACGTTTTTATGTAGACTGAGATTGTCAAGGATATATATTTTTCTTCAGATGCGGGTATTACGGAAAAAGTGTTTTCCGAATCGCTTTTTGCCAGCGCTTTGATTATAAAGTGTAAATCATAATTTGACAAATTATGAGCTACCACTGGAATGTAATTTGTTGTTTTTCTATTAACGTTACACTCATTGTGTGCCCAACCCAGAAACTTGTTGGTGTAATGGCAATGATCAAGTACCACTTGATCATTGTCGGAAAAATCATTCTCGCATATCCAACAAATTGTAGCATCTTCCCGTTCCTGGTCTGTTATACCAGTGAAAGTGTAATATTTCCTTTTTTCTACGTAAATTTGTCTCGCTAACGATTCAAGGGAGCTAATTAGCTCTTCCATCACATTCGGTCCTCTTTTAAGCTCAAACTTTAACAGGTCTTTTTTCCCAAATTCGATTACTGCTAACGCGTAGCCGCACGGTTGATGGATTTCAATTGTTTGCGTGCTAGATTTTCGCGGATCAGGTTGCAGTCCGTATACTGGTAAGAGCAGTGACTCCAAATCAAAGTAGATTACTCTGGGTACGTACCAACGAGCTGTTAAGTTTTTGAACTTGTGGTCATCTTTTCCCGGCTTGGGCATTGTTATGACGACATCTTCGTCTTGGTAGCACAGTTCTTGATGTCTTCTCAAAGTTTCGAATGAAGCGCATGTGTGGAAACATTTGCGACAAATCTCAGATTGAAATCGGTGCACTTTGTGCCGCACGTACTCGACCAGTTTCTGGAGATCACTTATCAACACATAGTGATATTTTGATCCATCTGTCAGCAGCAACAAGTCCACAATCAGGCTAGTAGTGAATCTGCTCGATACTCTTATGGGCAACAATTCGCCATCGTTGTACCTGAACAGAAAAATAATTTTTATACCTAGGTTTGAAATGAAATAAAAAGGGTGTTTGAATAGGTGAAGAACATTATTGAAGGAATTTTAAAATTTTTAGAAGGAAATTAGAATTTGCTTACCGGAAGACGTTGATTTGACAATTGTTCAACTTTTCAAATCTGTCCATATCCATCAGACCCATTGGCATTTCGTATTCCCCATTGATTTTCACAATTCCTTCTTTGTCGAGATTGTAGGTTGAGACTTTGTTTTTCTCCAGCCACCGTCTAGATGTGGGGTAGAGGGCCGGCTCATTCACATTGTGATATGCGGCAACAAAGGAGTAGAGAAAGCAACGGTCATCATCTTTAGTGTTGATATTTGTGAGCAGAGTAGATGCTGCGCTGAGTGCATCAGGTAGCTCGAGGTAGGATCCTGCTCTTATTGGTGAGAAGGCCGCGAAACTGATTTGCAATTTTTCAATTCTGTCAATAATCCATCCGCTACCATGAGAAGAGAACGAATTGACTTGGTTGACCATATGTTCAATCAGTTCCAAGAATTGAACCCCAGCTATTCCCTCGAAGTACACTGTCAATGTCTTAGTGTTCAGAAACAGCATGGTCCTTTCGAAGTTTCCACTGTCCCCGTCTTGCACAGTGGGAATTTTGATCATTCCCACTTCCACATGGAATTGCACCTTGTTCGGACCCTCTTTGACCCTTTCCAGTATAAGAGCATCTATTTCCTCCTTGTTTTGCATCATGACTTGAAGCAAATCCATTTCTTTTTCACCAACTTTGAGATCGTATCGACGCAATTTGCCTCTGAACGCGCTTTCCGTTGGGGCAGCGGAAGACGTCGTCTCAATGCCGTCCCAAACAG